AAGCCACATGACCGACACATGACAGCTCAAAGTGCAAATCTACAACATTTATATATAAGATTTTTATAATTAGTTATTGATTGATGTATGATCTTTTATTTCTCTCATTTAACATGCAAGTTCATTGCAATCAACGAGTGAAACTAGGAGGAATGACAGAACCACGTCCCCCTTTTAACTCCCAAAAGTTTCCTCAGCCATTCATATATTTTCACCCAAAAATTGTAAAAATCCTATTTTGGTCCCTTCTTTAGGAAATATTTTTATGATATGGTAAATCTGATAAGTTATTAATATTTTTACTTTTAGTTTTAATAAATAACCAGAAGGTAAACCCATGCTACGTTGCGGAGAATTGTAAAAATATATATTTTTTAATGTCAAAATCAAAATATAATAGGATGTAATGAAATGTATATGATACTATAAAGTTCAATTTTAAGAAAACTCTATTAGTTAAAATGTAAATTTAAAACTTGCTTTTTTAGTTCAAGTGAATGATAGTAAAAACTTCAGATCAATTCATTCAAGAATCATATAAGTTGCAAACTCAAGCTAAAGCAAAGAGGTGCTTACCACTAATCTGGCTACGAGTTTTTCTTCCTCCTAAGAGAAACGAGTGAGCTTGGTATTTACAATAATAATATTTTTAAGACATCATAACCCAATTATATGACCAAATCTTTGAATTCATAAAGTATTCATGACAAAAAATTGTCTCAAACCATTAGCGGCAGTCTAGCAAGTCAAGCCATGAAGTTTTAGTCCTTGACCATTTGTAGTCAAACGAATTGATCTATCCTAAATCTTCCATCATGTGAGTAAAGCAAGAATATCAATGCATAATAATATAATATTAAAAACATAAATGTAAAAGGAAAACAGTAGCAAACAAATGCATATCATTTGACAAAAAAAAATTAAATTAAATATCAAAGTATTTAGCTTTTCCACTTCATTTTATTTCAATAACAAATAATAAAAAGATCAAATGTTAACACTTAATCATGTTTTGATTTCATACCAATTCATATTCAACAACAATTCTTTTTTGGATGGTTTGCAATTCAATTTATAGCTTTGTTACCACTTCTGAAATTTGCAAACTTATGAACATTCGGTATGCAAACATATTAATCTATCAAAACCTATTAAAATAATTTATGATATACTAAAAGAATTTAATTTTATCAATAATTATTGGCATATATATGTATATATATATATATGAAAAAAAAATACACTCGATATTAACGTTGAAAATACATTGAAATGGAACTAACAACGTTATTATAACATAATTTTTTAAAACAGGGAGTTTAGAGAAATAGTTGAGATTGATGCATTTAGTTTGGAACCGTTCAATATTAATGGATTGTGTTTAGCCATAACACCTACTTAAAGCACTAATCCCATGGACCTAACATCATTAAGTAAGCAAAGCAGTCACCCCTATTCGTATCACCTGTGTTATGAACAACTAAAGCCTTTTCGATATAATGATATAGGTATTTTGGCAAACACTTCTCATCCATAAGCATTAAGTGTAAAAATATATTATAAATGAAACAAAATCAAATAAAAAAAAAAGACCATTCCAAAAATAAATAACATCAAGGAAATTATCCAATAATGTGCCCACTTTTTTCCTTCAGCTTTGAATCTTTAATTTAAGGTAAGCAAGACGCCATGCTGAGATTGCTGCATCTTCTTTGCAATTCCTGTAGTAATATAGGACCCACTATATTGACATCACCTGTTGATTGGAAAACTTCTCAATTTAGTTAAATTTTCCATTTAAAATAGTTCAATCGGATATCTTAATGAGATCTATCACTTAAGGATTGATTTCCTGCTCCAAGGGTCAAAATAACAATTTGACTAAAAGGTTCCTTGGATATCAAGTGCTCGTTTATCAACCACTTCCTCCTCTAAAATGCCAGGGAACATGAGTATCAGACCTTATAAAAACAAATTTAGCTAAGGTAAAAAATTGTTCTTCGATTAGTTAATAATCTTAGACTGCATTTTCTAATAGAATAGCTTTTGATTTCACTGGTTGAATCGGTTTGCCATAATTTAGCAAGCAAAGCTAAAATGTTCATTTTTCATTCTTTTACAATTACATATATACTACTACTTTTCATATTTAGATTTGGGTACTTGTAAATTTGTCAACCAATTCTGAAAAAAATGAATAGAACAAACATCCACCATCCAAAATTATGTATGAACATAATTCATGGATATCTGAAAGGCTAAAGTTTGGGTCACTAGATCTGGGATATATTCAGATGGGGTACCAGTTATGAAAGCAGCTAAATCTTTTCCACAAATATCCCAAGCACCGACTTCTCTGACAGAATAAACCTGACATAAGAAATCATAATGTTATTAGTCCCTTGTAACAAAAAACTACAACTATGGTGGTTGAGATGCTATACTTCTGTAACCACAATGTGATCTGTATAACTTAATGCAATGACAAAATCATTCTCTTCCACTTTCCAACTCTCTCTTCATTTCCTTTACTCTGTTGCTACCCATTCTGTTGTCTCCTTCCCACCTCGCCCTTCCTATTAGTTTCAGCCCCTGTCCATCCCTTTTTATTTTCAACTCCTGAAAGTTTCAAGCTCAATCCCTTTCTCTCTCTAGGGAAATTTTCATTTCAAGTGATAAAGTGAGAGAAAACCTAAAAATTAAACCTTTTACCAAAAAAAAAAAAAAAGAAAGCATGAATTTTGTTGACAAGTAAACCAAAACTATTTCACTTAAAAAGAAGAAGAAAGAATAACAAATAGTGAAAAGGACTTTAGACTTTAGAGATTCGTATAATTACTCAGAAGTGTTTGGAACAAAACTGAAAGTAGATCAAGTGCATTTGTTGTCTTTAGCTTTCAATTACAGGAACTCATAATTGCTTCTGATCTGATAAGTTCTCTATTTTCTTGATTTTTTGTTTTCTTCTGTAATTTACTTTTTTCATATAGAATGGAGATAAACAGAGATAGAAAGAGAGTGTTAAAAATAACAGAGTTTAACAAAAATTCAATTTCAAAATTACCCCTTAAAATTATCTTTTTACATAAAAATATGTCCCAATAGATTTGATTTTTTTTCTTTTTTTGATAAAAAATTTACACTTTTTTGATATAATCATTATTTCATTAAATTAGATACGGTAAATACGATGAGTTATCAATATTTTTACTTTCATACTCCTCTACCCCCCCTTTTTTTTTTGTATGGATTTTTTGATATTTCAAAGTTTTTTTTTTAACATTTAAAACTTTTATTTTTTTATATTTTAAAATTATATTTTATGATTTTTTTTTACTTTTTGACATTAAAAATTATAAAACTTTAATTTTATAAAAAATTTAATTTTAATATTAAATAAATTAAAATAAAAATTTTCTTTTAAACTCTGTAAAAGTTAATATCGTTCAAATATTTTGAAACGAAAAAAATATTTAATAAGTAATTTGATTTTTTTTTCAATAAAAAAATTTTCGTCTTTTTAATGTAATTATTATTTCATTAAAATTTTTAATATTTTTAAATAAACGTATCTTTTCAATTAGTTAAACAAGCATATTGAATTTAATTATTATATCAAACTTTATTTATATAGACAAAATATACAATTAAAAAACATTCAACTAATTATATTGTACCTAAATTGTACTTCTAATTTGACTAATTATATTCCTATCTAAAATTACATCGATAAATATGCCAAAATTTGAAAATGGCAATGATAATGGAGTGCTAAAAAGAGGAATAGACGTTGACAAACAGTGAGCACGAGCAGTTGTATTGGGTTTGGACAACTTGATTAAGGCCTTTGCAGCATGAAATATCAATGGAAGAGTTAATAATACCTCGATTGAAACGCTGTCCAAACTCCAAAGTCGCAGCCTTGTTTTTAGCTGTTCGCCATTGGGGCAAGCTTGCAAAGCACAGTCGCTAATAGCCAAGTAAACCCAAATGAAACTTGCAGCCCCTTAAACACTTAGATTGTAAATTTGAATGCGAAGAATTCTTCTTATATTTGTGCCTTAAATGAGAGCAGCATTATTATTATTGTGATCAGAGATGTAAATAATATATTAGTACTCACAAATTATTTGGGTTCGATTCGAAAAAAATTTGAATTCGATTTAATTATTATCGAGTCGAACTCGAGTTCGAGTAGTTCGACTTATCTATCGAGTAAAATTCGAGTATTCTTATATCCAGTTCGAGTAACTCGTGAGCCTAATCGAGCTTTTATATTTAAATATATTTTTATTATTTTAATTAATAAAATATTTCGAGTCCGAATTCGAGCATAAATAATCAAACTCTTATCGAGTCGAACGAGCTTAAGTAGCTCGAATTCGATCACGAGTAGCTCGAATTCGATCACGAATCGAGCTTGAACTTAAAAAATAAAATTCGATCGAGTTCGAGTCGAGTATCGAACCTTGAGTTATGAGTCGAACTCGAACTCGAACTTCTTACTGTATCGACTCGATTCGACTCAATTATATCCTTAATTGTGACTTTGACAGTAAGATCTATGATATAGTAGTACAGAAAAAAGAAAAGAAAAAGGAGGCTTTTTTGAAGAAGTCTGCATAAAAAAGCGTGCAAATTTTAATGGGTAATTTGGAAAATTGAGATTAATCATGCCCATGTGAGAAGTAGATATGCAATAGGTGAATCAAACAATATTTCTCTTAACTTTAAGGCTTTAATTTGATGACTAGAGCGAGAATTATGACCAGGCTTTAATTTCTTTTAACAAACTATGAGGATGAACATGAATTATGATCAAGTTTACCAAGAGAGAAATTCAGTCTTACTCCCTCTATGTTTGCTTTGTTGAAATTAATCATAACTAATGGATTAGCTGATTTACCAATCATTTTTTTTCTTTTTTTTTTTCTCATTTTAGACATCAAATTAACCACTGGATGAAAATAACTGCCATCACAGAAATAAAACAAATTTTCTAATTTTATTACTCTAAATAAAAAATACACTAAAATATCATTTTATGTAGAAATAATCACCCAATATGGCTCTCAAAACAATAGTTTCACACTACTAAAAGAATATACTGCTCAAACAATCGATAAATACATATAAATAGAGATATCACCGCCTAGTAGTACTTGAAAATGATAAATCCTAATGTCAACAGCACAAGGAATGGTGAAAAACTGTAAGATGGGTTGGTAGCCGATGGGGTAAGATCAGGGCGGCTCCCTGTAGTGGATGTTGGGGATTCAGGACCCACTGTTGAAGATGGTGAAGTTAGAGCCGGTGTGGTGTCGGATTCTGGTGCCTCAGCTGATGGTGTTGGTTCTGGCACAATGGAACCTGTTCAGAAATACACAACCAGAAGTCAAATTTGCAATAAGCTTAGTGGTAACTGCTAAAGTGCTTGCTTTTGAATTGCATTAGCATTGACAATTGAGCTGAAACAGCAGTTTAGTTACCTTCTGGGCTTAAAGTTGGTGAAGCTCCTGGAGAAAGGGCGGGTACAAATGAGGTTGGACCTGCCAAGGAATAAATAAACTAATCAACACATACTAAAGTAGTTTTGTTTAGGGGAGAGAAAAAAATCAAGAAAATTAAAAATTAATTTAAAATTATAGTGTTCGGTTTAATTTAATTTTTTATTTAATTTGAATTAAATTTAGATATTAAATGTATATATTAGGTTCACATCAGATTTTATATTAAAAAGTGAAAAATAAAAATAAAAATCAAATCAAATTGAATTATACATTTTTATTAGTTTTTATATATATGTTAAATATTTATAAAATAAAATAATTATTTTATACTTAAATTTATTTAAATATATTAAAAATTATACTAAAATAATATATGAAAACAAAAAAAAAAATTTTAAAACCACTGAATCGAACTGAACTGATAAATTTGGTTTAGTTCAGTTTGATTTAGTTCGGTTCGGATCATATGAAAGTTTGATTTAGATTCATATCAAATTTTAAAAATTCATAATTTTATGTATTATCTAAAAAAATCAAATTAAATCCCATCTGATCCAAATTATTATCACCCCTAATATTATCCTTTATGTGTTTGAATTGCTCAATTTATTATCATTTTAAGTTAAACACTTAATATAATATCAAAGTCTATTTTCTTTATATTGAGTTTTTGTCTATTTAGAAATTTGTATCTATTTTTTCAGTCTTACACAAACAATAATGTCAGCTCTTGACCTGCCATATATTTCGTCGCGGTATTTTTGAACCTATCATTTATATTGACCGGGAAAATAAGAGAAACAACTATGCAAATTGTCAGTTTTGGCCTATTTGAAGTAAAATTCGAGTCAAATTAAGCAATTTGTAATGGAATCCTATGATCATTTCCAAAATATGTTAGTCCAACCTTACCTGGAGCAGGAATAGGTACACCAGCAGCAGCTGCAAAACACGAAAAATTCTCATATTAGTATTTTCATTAGACTAATGGACAGAACATGCACGAATGTAATCTTTGATATGGTATAATTGAATATATTTCTTGCACCTTTGCATTGGACGGGGACACCGGGCATGTTGCAAGCCCGGGGAAGAGAGATGGCTAGAGTTCTGTTGATTGGTATACGAAAGGGGACACTTCCAGTCACAATGAGGCAGACACAGTCCATGCTACCATTTGTTAGGTTCTTAAGAGAGTTGCAACAATCTGCACTTGGTGAAGTACCATTGGCACTACTATTGGTAAGGAAACTCATACAAGGGGTGAAGGTGCTAAGCATCGATGGACTACATGGAGTATTGGTCTGCCCATAAACTGGCAGCATTAATGCTGTCAAAGCTACCACCAGAAGTAGAACAAGGCGAGAAGATGGCTTGCAGAACTCCATTGTCTTGTGGTTTGGGCAGACTTTGGAGCAGTTGAATAAGGGAATTAATGTTGGTGAAGCAAAAGAAAAAAACAGATGGTTGGATGTTTGAGTGTGGTGTTTGAATTGGAATTTGATGATTGGAAGGCAAAGGATAAGTGAATTTATATGGAGGGGTTTAGGTAAAGAGATGTGGCGGGTGGATTTGAAGTTGGTTTTGAAGCTCAACTACCTTAACCAACATTGAGTGAAACCAAGGAGATTGGTTTAGCCAGTAGCCACGTAGTTGGTCTAATGGAACCTAATTTGACCTGAACCTGCCCCAAGATGGAGTGCCAATCTTATCAATTGGAGGCTTACCGAAGTCAAAGCTACCAAGCAATCAGCCAATAAGAACCATTAATATCTCACTGCACGTTTTTCGCTGAATTTACTAAGATATGATAGACAATCCTACCTAAACCTAACAATTTGTATATCTTATTTCGTATTTAATATTAGTAAAATAATAAAATTATTATGTCATATTTTATTTTAATTTTTACTAAATAAATTTTTTTTAATTTTTGTCAAAATTATATACGATTTTTTGTAAAAATTTTAAACTATTGTTATATTTATTTTTTGTATCATGTCAAGTATTGTATTTAAAATTCCCGTATATAATCTTAGTTAATTTGACCTAACCCACTATTCTTGAAGCAGTTGGCTTTCTATTGTTACTTAACTACCTTCATCTCATGCTTCAAGTAACCGCAAATGATAGGCAACATAGTTGTTCATGATAGAAATTTATATTCATTCTTGAACTCTTTCTTAATGGTTTGGAATATTTACTTGAATATGATATCAATTGTTTTCTTTTTATCTTAAACTTATCAATTTAGTAGGATAAAATGATCTTACCCTTAATTCAGTGTTAAAAAATCTATTAAGAATGTCTTCTAGAGACTACTATACCCCTAAATGGAAAATAACTTCAAATACTTAATTTGAAAAAGAAATACTTCATCATTTATAACTGTAAAATAAATTAGAAAATTAAAAAAATAATCTTAGAAATGAGTTGAAATTGAGGAGATTTCTCATGAAGAAAAACTAGCTTCTTTTGAAATTGATATGAGATATGTTCATTTATAACTGTTCACCTAGTGCTAGAAAAAAATTCTCAAAGAATACGAGTAATCAACTAATTAATATCCACTACATATGATATTTTCTAGATAATTTTCTTATTCTTACTTAGATTATTATTATGAATTATATTGTCATTAAACTACTTTATATCTTTAAAAACACCCATTAATTGAAATTTTAAGTAACCAAAATATAAATTAAACTGGAAAAGACAACATAATCAAATTCCATATTATATAATAACCAAAGGGCACAAGAAAAGCTAGAGTTAAAAAATGAAAAGCTGAAACTTGATAGCAAAAGTTGGCCAACAAGCACAAATATCAAATTCGAAGATTAAAAAAATTATTAAAATAAAGAATAATTATAGATTCAATAATAAAACCCAATGAGAGATGAAACAAAAATTATTTTCATTAGCATATTTAAATACCATAATTTTTTAAGAAAAAATTCCAAAAAAACTAATTTATTTTTGTCAAGTCTCAGAACTAAGGATTTAACACAACTCATATGTAAATTAAAAAGTAAGAATTGTTTGGCTTTCATATATAAAGGGAGTAATATTGGATAGAGGAATTGTACTCATTTTCTCAAAAACTCTTGTATATGCAAAAACATTCTTAACTAATTGATGAAAGCTATTTACTTAAAATTTTTTTTTTCAAATATCAATAGCCTATATATAAAAATGACATCTTTGAGCTAAACTAAGGATAAATCAGAACTAAAAGATAACTTTTTACTATATTATCGTTGTTTTCTTGCATTTCCAAAGTAATCAAACAACAACTTAACATTATTTTTTATTTATTGAATAAAAAAACTATCATGAAAATGAACAAATTCACTCACTAAAGAAAAAAAAATTATGCATGCCTCATTTCTAAAATCAAATGAAAATTTTGAAATTATCTTTGATTTCTAATGTAAAAAACTTCTGCTCCAAAGCTTGAACAATTTTCCCTGCTTTTGCCTTCAAAACAAGTACCAACTCACCAACTCTAAATTACGAAACTAAAAAAAATCAGTGAGCTTAACCCTAAATTTCAAAACTAAAATTACGGATTGTGTTTAGGTTTTGGCCATGGGATGAAGAGAAAGAGAAAAAAATCAGTGCGCCTAACTGAGGAAGAGAAACGCTGATGAAAAGGTGAGGAAGAGAAAGAAAACGATGAAGAGCTGTCAGTGGTGTTGTCCGCTATACACATCTGGGTTTGGGAAATTATGTAATTGCCCAACTTCTGTTAATGCTGTTAACATCTTTGGGTAGAATGTCCATTTTCAAAATTAATGGGCTTGACTTGAATTTCACTCAAAACTCAAGGATCTCTATGGAATTTACTCTTTAGTTTTCGAATAATCCAATTTTTCATTTCTTATATAAATCAGTCACTTTATCAATACACTAGAATCCAACTCAAACGACACAATCTACAGCTTCAATTCAAGGTTTGTAGGGCATTTCAGCCTTCAAATGGCGTCAAGGAAGACCACCTCGCAGGTTCTAGTCATGGTCATGGTAACCTTGCTTTGGGCAAGAAACATGGCTCAATCAGATTGCAACAGTGTGCTGATCACGATGGCTCCATGCCTTAATTATGTGACAGGGAGCTCCTCAACCGCATCTGCTTCATGCTGCTCACAGCTTGCTAATGTTGGTCAATCACAGCCACGATGTCTTCGCATGGCGCTCAATGGTGTTGGCTCATCACTGGGTGTGTCAACTAACCAGACACTTGCTCTGGCACTCCCTGCACTTTGCAATGTGAAAACTCCATCCATTATCAACTGCAATGGTAAAAAGCCAATATGTTCATACTACATGGGTGGCTGCTGATGGACCTGCAACTTCAATATCTCCTTCTGATTCGCCAGCCGATTCTCCTCAAGGTTTACCACATGGTTCCGATGACACCGCAGGCAGTTCATCAAAATCAGGTACATGTTTGTTAATGATCATTCAGCTATCAGCTTAAACTCTAGAATTCTGAGTTCAAATCTCGTCTACTCTGATAATTAATTACATACACTTTTGTTGCTAACTTAATACTTTGCCCTAAAAAATGCTTCCTTGCAAGCATAAAATGTGTAACTTATAAATACAAAGCCAAAAAAAGTTTGAATATTGTAACGAAGATCTGTTGTAAGAGCTCAGAACCACGCAAGAAATACAACTCTAATCGTTTCGATTCTCTAACTTCATGCTATAAGCTATATTGTTGGATTTCAAATTTTACTAGTTTAAGAAAAAGTTGAAACAAATTTTGACATCCCTGTAGGAGTCTTTTTCCCATGAAAGCAAACTCAATTAACAGTTTCTACTTGGAAATAAGGTTCGCTTCAACTTTATCTTCCCCAAAACTACGATGTATGCCAAATAACATTAGTATTATATAATTCATTTGATTTATGAAGTCACATTTAAGAAGTGACATGTAGTCACATTTAAGAGGTGACATTTGAGAATTCATATTCTAACATTTATAATCCTTTCCATTTTTCTTAAGTTGTGACCTCTTTTGTACCAAAAACTAAACATCATAACTCTACTTTCATACATAGCCTTATCATATAAACAATTATTGCATTTAGGCAAAGCAGTCAGCTGTCTTGGAATTGAATTGAATAAATACGCATGAAACTGTTATAATTATCATATAAATGACTAATTCGGGAACGGTAGGGAAAAATAAGAAAGAATGAATAAAATGAAGTTTTAGAATTGAGAATTGTGTAACAATCCCACGGAACCATGCACATTATATTCTTGATTGAATGGGTGCAGGTGGATCTGAAGCAGTGCTAGCTACTTCCCATGCTGTTATCTTCAAAAATACCGCATCAGCTCATCCTGTTCTTGCCTCCCATAGCTTTCTATGCTTCAACTTCGACCAGCACCATCTAAGGCTCTTATGGCCATGGGATATCTTTCATGCTTCTATCACCATTTAGGATCCTATATAGTTGTGTTGTATTCAGAATTGTGTTGTCGTTTTAGCAAAAAGTTTGTATGGTTTGCTTTAATTGATATCTGTTCTACAAAGTTTGTATGGTTTGCTAAGTTCATGCGTGAGTAATATTCAAAAGTTTCTTCATATTAATTCCCTTCATGCTTCAACTGTAATGTCTTTCAATGATAACAAAACTAATGTCTCATCTTTCCATTTTGTGTAAATATGCATGTATTAAATTTTATTCATGTAGGGAAATAGCCAATGATGGATGCAGGATTTCAATCAGTGAAGGCAAAATTATGTAAAGAGAAAATGCAAATTGGAGTGCCACATGAGCATATAAATTGCTTTTTTATAAATTTATCTAAATTGAAAATAAAATAAAAATTTATCTAAATTGAAAGTAAAAACAAAAAAGTTGAAAAAAAAGAAAAAATTTTTAAAAAAAAAAGGTGGTACATTGAAACCTTAAATGAGGATCAAACAAAAATGAATAAATGCTCAAATAAAGATTTAACATTTGTATATTTTCTCAATTAAAGATCTCAATTTTAATTTGGTTCAATGTAGGATATAATGCTTTCGAATTTATTCAAATAAGGACTAAGTTACAACTATAGCTTACACAGGCCATTAAATCTATTTTTCGTTAATATTTGCCATTAAAGCTATTAACTCCAATCCAAAAAAGCACTAAAAACTCAAATAATAAAATATTGTTCATAACAAAACAAAAAAACCACAAAATAATAATGTTGCCTCTCTAGTTATTGGTATTTTTTTTTCTTTTTCTCACAATTCTTAACATCATATCTCTTCTTATGTCTTCAAATAAAGAAATAATAGGCTTTCTTCTAACATTCAATAATATTCCATTGAAAGCTTCACACAAGTTGTTGCCCACCAAATCAATCCTAGAGTTAGTGTTGAAAAATGCTCTACACCATTATTGAGGTGGGACTTTGAGTATATCTTCAGCTGTTTTTGCTTTCTTAGCTACTAATTCCTTCAAACAATATTCAAATGTTGTAACTATGTTGGCCTCAGTAATCTTCCAAAAGCATTGTCTTATTTCTTGACCTCTATGATCATTATTAACCCAATTAACATATACATGTCTAGCATAATATCTATGTTTAGCATCTGGAAGCAACTCATTAATTGCTTTATCAAGGCCCTGCGTTGCAATAAATGATTAGATTCAATAATATTAAGAAATAAATAATTGAATACATTTAACATATAAATTACTTTTTGCTGGTCTGTCATTATAGTCAAGCC